CAAAGTTTCCCTGAATTTCCCGAAGAAGCCGATGCAGACGCAAGTTGTCAAACAGCTGAAAATGCAACGATCGCAATAGGTGTAGATGGGAAAAAGACAGCAAAAACATCGCTACGTTAGAGAACGGTCCTGTCGAACAAAACCCTTACTTACCACATGTCTGAAGGCAGTGTGAAGCCAATATGACCGCGGTTGTAGAAACACGCCAATAGGCTGATGCATAGGCAAGTTCCGTGACATCCCTAAAATAAATTGAACCGAGTATGTAACATTAAACTCTATATGGCTCTGATGAGACTACCTGAATGAACTAACACTGTCGAAAATACTTGCCATCATACAACTTACGAGGGGAGTTGTTGATTTTGTTGTTCGCCGACATATGTACAGCTGGCATATAGCAAATCAATTAACTGTTGCGGTTTAGCAACGTTTAACGGTTCCAAACCTACAAGAAAAACACAAAATGTGAACAAATTACAATGAAAATAGCAACCATTCAGTGTAACCGAGCAAAGTCAAGTAATGAAAAATGACAGCAATTATTCACTGGTTGGTAGCCCCATTACAGAAGCACATCACATGCGCGCAGGTCTAGCACAAAATTGAATTCTACTGTTGCCATAAGCTCAGCACTGAACTGATAAATTGTTTATCGCCGTTATGTTGTACGGCAGTCGCTTGATAGGCCGCCTTTTCCTTCCTGGAAATTGTATCATTATATGCACCATGAAAGGAAGTAAAAACGTAAAGAGAAAAGGAATACATGGGTAAAGGGTAAATCGAGTTGCGTAGAACGAAGTATATAATCTGAAACAGATAGTGCACGCGCGATGAAAATGTTTGTGACAACCGACAAAGAGCATTTGACTGAGGTTTCGTCCTGTTTGGGACTCTTCAGCAGTGCGTACTTTTGGCGTCCATGTCAGGACTCGAACCGCGAACTTCCGGGTTGGGACTTCAAACCCCTACTCCTGAGGTACACGGTCGACGATCACCTTGTGCGAATGACTGAATCAATTTTACGGTAGCAAGCTTGGATTAGCCTATTCGATCTCCCAAGCAGTGGAGCCCACACCGAAGAGCGTCTGGTGCCTCTTAACAAGCGAATGGGCTAAACCAAGCTTGCCACCGTAAAATAAAAGATAGTTCACGGTTTCACGAAAGACTCTAAATCAATGACCAAACAGATCACTGGTGTGTTTGCATCCTCTGCTGTTGGAATATTGAATCCACTAATCCATTCCTGAACATATTGTTCACTATTGAACATTGTGAGAATCGGCGACTGCACCTCATGAACACATCAAAAAAATAAGTCATAATTTGAGCAGTGTCTTACTACACTACAATATCAAGTTAGGGAAACACATTTGAACGTCAAAAAACGGGGCGATATACAACAAGGCATTTGTCAGATAGAATAGATAGTCTCTATATTCTGGAATGGAGTATACGATTTGATAAGTTACAACTGATCGTTTATGCGTTTCGGCCTCAACCAGATGAGCCTTCTGTACACTCGGAATAAAACAAGAGCTCCAATAGATAAAAGGAAATCGCTAAAAGAGTTTGACCGAAAGGTGAGAAAGGATAGTCGATTGTGATCCGTGAAGATTTCATCATACACAGAGAGATAAATGATCACAACTTACCGGAATCACGAGCCAGAAGTGCAGCTCGTCGAACTAGTTCGCACACCATATCCAACGAGTCTAGCGGATTGAATAATTGACGATTCGGTTCCAATCCCATGATGAGAATCTGGTGAGCCAATTTCTCCGGCAGAACCGTGTCAGCGACAAGACGAACAAAGAGGCTGATTTTGAAAGAGAAACGAGATGGAAACAAGGATTATGAGCCGAAATGACTGCCTAAATGTAGTACATAACTTCCATCTTTCTCATTTTCACATAAAGAACTCACACTTAAGATATAATCAACTGAATAACTACTGTCCAAACAACACAGAAAGCAGAAGTATTTTAGTCTAAATTTAGTATTCTCTGAGATGTCACTCAAACGAACTCCAAAAGCTTCAGTATGGTCGGGGGTGGGTGTCTAGGGTTGCGGCTGGTCACCATTCCCTTGCACTTCACGAAATGCTCCCATACAACCAAGCTTCTCAAATAGCCTTTGCTGAGGAAGCCCTACTCACTGCCTTCCAGTGGCGGAGGTGTTTTGCCACCAAAGTAAGAGGACGAAGGGCCGAGATCTGGGGCTATAACCGGGTTGGTGGATCACTGGCAGTTTACCTAGGGGAGTTGGTCAAAATCCCTGGTTCAAAACCAACCAAGAAGAGGCGTACAAACCACACCCACATCTTTCCGATTGTGGCAGTGATCACCGGCTCCATTGGACATTAAGGTGTATTGGGCACCTTGGACGTCTGACCCCGTCAGAAGGGCGTACGATCCGATGAACCGGACACCAGACCCGATGGACTGCGGTTTTCGCACACCACCGCGCTGCCTTGCGGGTCAGGCTTTGGCTAGCCGAAGGCTCCGGTTGTGAATTCCTAGAGAAAATTCACCTGCCTTGGCCTGGGCAACCTGGCAGTATTCAGTCTGCATACAAATCATGAAACGCTTTTTCGTCTTTATAAAGATTATTGTACCATGATTTGCCTGGCACACAGTCTGTCCTCAGACAAGTGTGAAATATAATATATAATAATTTAGGTAGATTGAAGTTCGATCAGATCATGTATCCACCTACACCAAGGTCCGATTTCAACAAATCAGGCACCATGAGCGATGGCTGTACTAGCAGGAGCGAAAGAAGACTGGGTCTTGGTCGATCGATGAAGTAATTGCAAACTGAATCGATTGATGTGGGATCAAAGTTACGGGAATCCCAACTGTTGACCACTTTCGCGGTTTCTTTATTTCTAATTTTTCCAGGTTTTTTTCTGTTGTTCTCCGCCCCTATGTGAGCATGCTTGATTGATCGCTTTTGTTACTCCCTATGATCAAAAAACTATGGAGGTATGCAAAAGTTTGAATGCCAAAAGCATTTAATTGATAAATAAGGATAACCAGTTCTAGTTCACGAATACAAAAATAGCCTTTGCAATCTGTGCCATGTTTATTAGCCGTAGAAATGCCGATGGGGGACGGAATGGCTGGGAACTAACCTGTGTTCTTGGTCATTGGCCCAGATTTCTTTCACTGGATAGAACGGCGGTAGCTCGTAGACCACAGCGTTCGGCCGCTTTAACGGCACATTCGAATCCAACATGAAAGCCCGCCGAATCAATAAACTCGGTTTCACGGCATCCAAACATGAGAGCAGTTGATTGGTCTGTGTCGCTCCCGAGCTGCCGGTCGCCTGCATAGAAGCATTGACTAACGAAGGTAGGATTGTCTTCGCCCAGCGAATCACAGCCAGGCGAATTTGACGAAGAGCTGTTTGGTGTGCTTTCAAAGCGTCCAGATGAGCGGCTGTAGGGAATGATCAAGAAAACAAGGGTATATGGTGAAAAACATAAATATTTGTTTTTTCATTTTATTTATTTTAACACGTAACCAAGTACACAGAACTGACGAATGTGCCACATTATTTTACTTAACTGCTCCCCTGTAGTGTTTCCCGGTCTATTGAAACAAGACTTTAAAACTGTCCGTCGTGGATTAATGATAATAAGCCGTGCATCTTTAATTTCTGCCGATCCATTGTTCACAGAACTTATTAATGGTCATATGAAGTCATGCCTGACCTTTGCCAATAAGATTCTAAACGACCCCACCCATCCTTTCGCATTCTGACTCATCTTCTTGTCGCTCCCACTCGATCACTCGTTCCTCTTATCGGTACCTACCGTCCCGAATAAACATTTATAAAAACTCCACTGTATCGTATCTGGCTCGCATCTTGACCAACAAGGAACGAGTTATAAATGAATTACGTCAATCTTTAATTGGATGAATCAAACTTTAGAGACATTTATTTATTTTTTACACAGCACTCTACTGAATTTGTTTATACTTCTATATTTTCTCCAGTATGATGACCGGTGTACAATTTTTAACTGAAATGTAAGCATATCTCAGCTCGCAAAAGTTATACAAATACGAATAAAAAATAAAAAAAGAAATCTGTAGAATGTGTTCGTGGGTTGTGTGGGGATGTTACTTCTGGACTGCCCTGACCATGGAAGGGAGATAACCTCCGGGTCCCCACCCGAACGAAGCCTTTAGCTAGAAAGCCAGACCTGCAAGAAAACGGGACGGAGCTCAGAGTCGGAAGTCCATTGGGGGCCGGTGTCCAGTTCATTGGATCATACGCCCTTTAGGAGGTCAAATGTCCAGGGTGCCCAATACACCTTGATGCCCAGTCGAGCCGGTGACCGCTGCCACAGGTATGTAAGTGGTTCCGTACACCTCTTCTTGGTTGGTTTTAATAAGCTTAATTGATTTTCGCTCTGATGAATTACCAAACAGTAGTAGCTTGCACATACAGGAGACCGTGAGATCCGAGCCCCTCCAAGAAAAACTGTCATTTATCTAGGCTACCTCTCTCAGATGGGCAATGTATGATACTAGCGTTTACCTTTGTAGCTGCAATTCATGTAACCAGCGCCCAACCATGATTGTCTGTGAGCACATTAGACTTTACTTTAAACGCTGAACACGAGCCAAGCATATGTTTATCCGAAAACACTTTTGTCGAAAAAAATTAGTTTGCGAAACTGATTACTAGGCCTGATTGGCAAAAATGAAGTCAAAAATATGGGAAAAACTCACCGGTGCGGCGAGAAGCGGATGCGCCCACCAAGTGCGGTCGACTAGCAGATAGCATTTGCAGAGCACATACCAAACCAATCAATCCGTTCAAATAGAACTGAATTCGTCCCACTCCCACAGCAGGAGCCTGTTCTGTGGACGTGTGCTCCACGTCGGAAGACAGGGCGCGGATAATCGCGTTAGCTGCCGCAATAGCTGTCGTGTTGACTCGGTAATTTCTGTCCTGAANCCCGCCAGTTCGGCACACGGTAAATAGGCTTGCTGAAGCAAATGTGGATGATTGTTTGTGGAAGTCGAGCTAGTAGAACCGGTCTGATTGACACCTAACGGGCCACTGTCGGTCAAATTCGGACGACAGTTACGGGACAATTCACGCAGGAACGTATACACTGGACTCATAGCTCCAAACAACTCATCCACGACTTGTGTGGAGGTGAGTGCATTCGATAGAGCACCAAATTTGGTCGCGGTCACAGCAAGCAATAGACGCTCATGAAGCAAATTGCCCATAATCTGAGTGGTAGACGATAAGGATGTAAAGAAAAGATTACATTGTGAACGAATCGCGGAATACGAATAAGAGCCGAAAGTAAGTAAATGAGATAGATGGGGTTTGCAGCGCATTTAAAATGCTGCATCGGGTCATAGTACTATGAATACTGATCACGAATAAAATTGTAATGTGAAACGAAGTATCTAACTTGATTTTGAAAAAACATTCAATCAAATGGAGAGGAACTCTCATAAATGACAACGAGCATATCGTATGTACATAAAGTCAACAACTTACACGGATCCATTGAGCACTAAAGCGTTGGAATAAGAACGGGAGAATCGTATAGACTGATGCAGAACCCCGCGTGGCGACGGCATTTGACGCGGATGTCGCAACAGCTGTCATGGTTGCCATATTCAGTTGCAATTGTTGCTGGATTGTTTTCCCCGTACGTTCCTCGGACACATCGCCGGACGTAGACCGCACAGTTTCAGCTATTTTCATTACAGTTTGACTCAGAAACTGACCGGGTGCCATCTTTGTTTCGGAAGAATCGCCAGTGAGAGGTGGCTTGGACTCAGGCATGGCGCAAAGGTGAACTAGACAGTACAAGTTCAATGGATTTGCCTTTACCATATGAGCCAGGCATTCCAAAAATGCCGCCTGTTGGTTGAAATAAACAGAAACAGAAATTATTCCGACTCTTATTGTGATGAAAGCACACCTAGAAAATTCAAGAGTTGAAAACAATAGCGCAAGAATAATATACTAAGTAAAGACGTATTATTTCACTTACCTGAATATTCGGTTTCAGCAATTTGTACCGAATACGAAAAACAACCGAAATCATGACATCCAGATCGTGCGATGACAGACCGCCAAGACGACAGTTAGATGCCAAAATAGCCAATAATCCGATTGCGTACATTTGGATCTTTGGGTTCTGAAAAGTAAACATCGAAGATAATGTCAAAAAACGTCCAATTATCAGCGTTACGAGAGGGATTATCCTTATCATTCGAAATCGCCTCAACAATGTTTGCAAACATCCCATATGTGGTATTCATATTTTTGTACCAGAGTGAGAACGTAAACCGTAAATAAGAACGTCTGAACAAGTCAAGTGAACGAACCGGATCATACAGCGAACATTAACGCCCATTTTATTTTACTTTGTTCATGTCCCGCCCGAAAAGGTTTCAGTTCGATCTCTCGGTTGGCAAATATTGAGGCCCGTGAACAGCATTGATGTGTGAGTGTCTGCCGCATTCCTTGAATGTTTGCGTCTTAACCTTTTTACTACACTTGGTTTGATACAACGATACAATTTTCAGGAAGGCAGGAGTGCTGATTAAAGGGACGCCATCCAGCATGCAGAGAACAGGGAAAGTCAGGCGGCGGTGGTGAACTTCGAACACGACTCCTCAGCGGCGATAAGTTGAGGATCTTTGCCGGTGGACCACCATTATAGTAGTCACCACACGTTGACCCTACCGTGCGGCTAAGAATGCAAATTAATGGGTTAAACCAGTCGAACATTTCGCGATCAATCAACAGTCAATATTTCAAATCCTTAGCATCAAAGATTCCACTAGATACCATCGTCTAACGCACAGGTTGTGATAGAGTTTAGCTTCCTATAGTGAGGCTTAATAAACGTGCTCAGATGATATGGACCAGTTCTGTGTAGACACACTATACACCCAATTCGCTCATATATTATTAGACCTTGCTATCAAAACAAAATTTTATTATTGTTTTCTCCAAAAGGCACACGATTACCAACCAAATCGATGGGACCGGAAATCGGGCTCACCATGATCACACAGTTGTTTGTCCACTCACCCGATCATCGAGATTACACATGAAAGGGTGTATGAGAGGTGGGTCAGGGAAGCTTTAGCGCTTGCACATCGTTTTTGGGCACACAGAGGGGGATTATGCAAACG